AGCCTCCACCCAAGTTCTTGTTAAAAGACCTTGTGCCAATGGCAAAAAAAGTTGAACTTGTGTGAAAGTGCGGCCTTTTGAATGCTGTGCTCGCTTATGTGTGTGTGTGTTTGGGCCTGCATGTGTCTGACTGCTGCTTTGAGTCCTGCGGCTAAAGGCAGCAGTGGTGAAACCCATCCATTACTCTCCGCTCTATACAGAGAGGATTGTTTTCAGTGTGTGTTTAGGAAGGGAAACACCTCCATTGTTGCCTCTGTGGATCCTTACCACGTCTTCCTACACAGACATATTAGCAGCACAGACGTTGACTTTCACACTGCTGCTATTTTAACGTTTCTTCCCTCACCTTTTTTTTCTCCGCCTCTCTCTATATTTGTCACTTTTCTCACCGCCACTTGCCCTTTTCCTCATCATTGCATGTTTTCTTGTTTTGCTTGACCAACTGCTAAAAGTCTCTGTGTTGTGTACAGCAGAGCGAGGCGCATCATGGAAACGGCGAGCAGTCAGGATGACTTCATCATGTCGCAAAGTGTTTTATGTCTCACTGTGTGTTCTCACTCTTTCCATAGCTCTTCTCACAACATGTCAACTCAGATCGTCATGTGACATTATGATTAAGTGAGACAGAGTGAGGGCAGAAAAATTATTTTAAATTAGTGACTCGGTGACAGCGACAGTCATGGCGCTTTTTTTAAAAAAGAGGAAAAAACAGTCCTTTTTTAAGTGACAAACGATTACACAGAGCTGCTTCTTTGCATTGTTGCTTCAAGGAAATGGTATTTGTGTGATGCCAAGAACAGGCAGATGTCAAACAAGTTCCAGGTGATGGAATGCAACTGTGTTTGGAGCGTCTGTCATTTTGGAGCCATTAACCAGCTACTTGTTGAAAGAGTGGAAGCTGTCAGCTTTGCATCAGATAAAAGCGTCACAGCTATTGTTTTCTCAGGTAAAGTACTGCTGACGTTTGCAACAAGATCACCTGTGAACCTGTTTCAGTACGAGCGTTTAAATTTGCCTGTGCAGCTCTGAATCCATTACCGGCTTTTGAATGCTCGATGTGGGCATATCAAGCAGTAAATTACAGTAAACGTGTTTTTAGCTCCGAGCTGTTTGAACACTGGTCCGTTGGTGCAGTTTGGACACCTGGACTTTGAAATTATTCTTTAACAGCTTGGTGTACAAACGACTTAAAATATAACTCTCTGCAACACATTGTTTCCTTTATAGAGTTAATGAACATAACTCACTTTGTGATGTCAGCAGTTTAAAGACAGTGCCTGGAAGGCATGCACAGTTTTCTGTCAAAAAACTGACAGGAGTGGGCAAGTCAGAAGTGGAAAAAGAGTGAGAGGATGTTTTCCCCTGCCAGGATAGATGGCACAGCTCATTTATCTTGAGGCTGTAAATGTACAATTCAGAACTTCTGGTAAAGGCGCTGGGTTTCTGCTCTGCACAGTTTTTAATTTGACCTCACAGAAACATGTATATGTTGACCCTCTGCTCAAAAGCTCGACAAAAAACCTGTGAACTCGCTCAGTTTCTGGAGAAATGAAACAAAGAGAGGTCTCTGTGTCAGTGTGGTAAGAGTGGGGGAAAAAAGTGCCTTTATAGCCATACAAATATAAAATTCTTACATGAATATTCGTCTGTGTTCTCACTGACTGGAATAAGAACCTCAACCGGTAAACAAACCAGGAAAGTCACGGCATCCAGAGCTCTGCTCGCGTATGCCGAGTAATCACCTGTGGTTTCTTTTGCAGAGTTAAAAAAAACAGCTGCCTCTCTCGGTAGTGTGGTGCGGCGCTTCCTGCGATGCCGTGATTTATTTGTTATGTTTGACTGCAGTTCTTATTGCCTGAGGGGCTCTGTCACAACAGTTAAGGCACAATTGTTGTTGTGCTCACAGAGGATTTGATACCCTTTGTCTGACAGACATTCAATCTGTGGGAACTGTTGTCTCTCTCTCTCTCTCTCTCTGTCTTTTTAACTCTTCCTTGATTTTTCATTTTGCTCCGTCTTCTCCGCAAAACTCCTCAGCAAACAAGAAAATCTCCTTCTCCGCCAGCATGCCTGATCTTGTTGCATTGTCTCCATATTGCCAGGTTGATTGATCCCACCTCATTTGCTACATGAAAATCATTGGATTATCTCGAGTGTAACCGCTGACTTTAGTCTAACGTGATGGACTACAGCGAGCTCTGACACTTCACTATTTACAGAAACAAACCAAAGCAAATTTAAACTGCTACAGTGCACCTCTCTGAGGCAATGACGGAAAGTCCCAGCAGCAGCAGCCGTAAACCCACCCATAGCTGGCTCTGGTGCCTCTTGCTTGCCTGGCTGCCTGCTGCCTCCTGTGTGCCCCCCAGGCTCAGGGGAAGTGGGGAGGCCCTCCATGCCCATTTGGCCCTGGCTAACAGGGGATGAGGTCACTCCAAATTCCCCTTATCCCCTTATAGCCCCAGACGGGCTGGCGAAGTGAGCCTACCACAGGACCCGACATAAAACATAAATGGCTCTGTAAAAAGCTGCTGGGCTGATGTGACTCATTAAAAAACTCTGGCGCCAACTCTTTTATTAATTCATTATTGTGTTTAGGGAGCGTAAAGTTACCGGGTCTATTTTAAAGGCTGCGTCTCTGTGCTTCAGTTCTTTTTCTTTCTTTTTTTAATGCCTTTGTTTTGCAACACATATTTGAATGTGGAGCTGTGGTTTATTCTGGTAGGATTCAGCCTCTGGACCGTCTCTCAGACCCATTTTTACTTAATTTCTGAATTAATATGCCACGGTTTCCTCCTGTCAGAATGCATAATTCACACGCACTGATTTGTAAACTCCGCTGTCAGTCTTCTTTTTCTCACACAGTCACCCTTTTCTTTCATCCTCCTCTCTCTTCCAGCTCTTGCAGACACATTGTGCTGCCTCCATGGGGCCTGGTCTGGTTTGAGTTCTTGAAGCAGATCTCCAAATGGCCCGAACGCTAGCCAAGTACATACTCATAACCCGCACACACATGCACATTATGAGGCTACGCGTTGCTGGCAGTCTTGTTTTTGCAGTCTGTACCTCTTCTCTCATTAGGCCCAGTGTGAAATCGTGTGATGTCTCCAGTAATGTTTTTGCGCCTTGGCTGCACAGTGGAATCGCTACGCAGGGTCATGGTACAAGTTGTATAAGCAGTGGAAGGATGGAGGGACGGGGCACAGAGGATAAGACTGGGTATAAGGATATGATTATGTAGAAGAGGTGTAGGGCGGGTCAGAAGTGGAAGGGGTGGGGTGCAAGGTAGGTTGGAGGAGAAATATACTGGAAAAAGTAAAGACGTAAAACAGAGAGAAAGAAGAAAGATGGCAGTATGGCTGTGTTGGCAGGATGGGGGTGGGTGCCTATCCGCGGCTGCTCCTTCCTGAAACGTGGCCACCCGAGCCTGCCTGGGCCCTGGATGCACATGTGGAACAGTTTACTGTAATGGAACTCTAAATTAGTGGTGGTTTGAAGCTGCCTGCAGCAGTAGGGTGTAATTAACTGGCTCTGTTGAAAGAGAAAGAGCCAGAAAGAGAGGCAGGGAGGGAGCCAGAGCGCTGGAAAAAGGCACGGGGTGAGAGGTGTGTGCGCGTTCATATGTGTGCGTGCGTTAGGGGATGCTCTCACACATGTGATGTGTGGAGTTTTCGAGTGCTTGATTGCGTGTGCGGCGCATATGTGTGCTTCTTGGAAAGCTCTCCCTTCTTTTTTCCCGGGCATGGCGCCACCTCTTAGTGCCCCCGTGTGCCCAGACCCTGTCACTGTTCCACTGAGCTTTTTCGCTCAGTTCAGCAGTTCACTGGTTTAGCCTTAGATCTTTCCACCCCCCCCACCACCCCACCCCTCCATTTCTTTGTTTATGCCGAATTCATTACCAGGATTTTTTCCCTGTCTTTTCTCCCAGATTCACAAGCCACAGCAGTTCCAAATTCCTTGGCTCTGCTCTTTTTCAAAGCCACATATAAAAAACGAGCTGATCACACCACCCACTCATGAAATCACACTAAGGAAGCACAAGCAAAAGGAAAACATGAAAAAGAAAATGGGAGGCCTCTTTTATATTTCGCCCCCCCCCTTTTTTGTATTGAGAGTCGACAGAGGGGCATAACTGCAGCCTTGTCTGCACTTGAGCCTGACTTGTCTATGCCCACTGTGGGGTGTCAAAGTGACGAGAAGGCTGCAGGAGGCTACAGCCAAAACGACTCTGTGGGATGGGAGCCTGACCTCAAGAGAAGATAGTTGGAAGTGACAGCAGCAGTTAGCAATCAGTGGATCTCATTTTCCCTACTCATCGACCCCCCCCTTCCTCCCTTCTTCATGCTCTGGACCCCGTGTCTGGGCCCCTGGTCCTGGGGGAAAGAGGCAAAGAGGCAGGCTGCTGTGCTAGGCTGGCAGCAGGAACAGAGGAGCTCTTTATAATAGAGTTCTGGTGATTTAAATCATATGGTATAGCCTGGAATCACTGCAGAAGTCTGGAAGCTCTTCAAAACTGTACAAGAGCTCCCTCTCTCTCTCCCCCTCTCCTTTCCTCCTCCCTCCTTCCTTCCCACTCTTCACTGTTATAACTTTTTCCAAACTTCTTTCTTATTTTCTTTTCCCCTCACCCAGTCCCAGTTTTTTCCTTCTCTTTCTGGCTTTTCCCTCTCCGCGCCCGCTCGTTCTTTTTCTCTCCCGTCTCTATCTGTTATGGTTCTCGCCATCTCGTCCTTCCTCACTTCCTCTTTCCTTCCCATTCGCTCATACCTGTTGGTATGAAGTTTACACATCCTTCTCGCATTAAAACTGTGGATGAACTGTTATGCGACCCAGATGGAATCAGAGTTGATGTGAGGTGAATCCTGTTTGTTGAATCTAGAGCAGATCTAGATGACACTAATCGTATCATCGTGTTCGTGGCAATCAAAAGCACTTATTCTTATATTTTATGTGGGATTCAATTAATAGGAAATTATTCACTCTTATCCTCTCATCTGCAGCAAAGAGACAGCGGGACTCTTCTAAAGTGGAGTCCACCTATCCTTCAGTACCTCCGAGGCCCCCTGTCGCCCGTACGTCCTCCACGTCTTAAGACTCTTCGACGGACGCACATCTCAGCCAGGTGTCGAAAGAGCCGTTACCTCCAGCCAGCCGCCTGCTGTGGACCCTGGGTGATCCGTCGCCATGGCTACAAACAGGGAACAGCAGGTGGGTCACATGACCGGCTTCCCACCTGCTGTGTACCCCTTTCCCTTCAACTCCATGAGAAGCCACTCCCCCTTCGACCTGCTGGCCAACAGCAGCCTGTTTGGGAGATTTGGGGCTGACCTGCCCAAAGAGATGGCTGCTCTCTGTAAGTCATTTTCATTACTCTGTGTGTTTGTGCTTGACTTGCCTTTCCTCTCATTTTCCATCTCAGTTCCAAGTATGCACACGGCCATTGCTTTAGTTTTAGTCAGGTCGCATTAAACACCATCTCCTGGAAAAGGGGAAATATGGCTTAATTTAAATTGCACTACATTATGTGTAATTTTGTGGAAATGGAAAACTTTACCGTCTGTTTGCGATATAGGAGCAGTGGTCGAAAAAAATCCCCCAAAGAGACCATGAGGAAAAAGTCTACTTTCATCAGTACAATGATTACTCTGCTCCTGTGGTTTCCTTATATGCTTTATGCTTGTAGCTGGTGTGGTTATGACCGCAAGCTCTGGCTCTGGCTTCACGATGCGTGCGTGTATCCATGCGCGTGCCTGGACCTCTCACAGAGCTTTTGTGAGGCAGATAATGCACAAGTCTGTAATTATAGACAAAACACATTGAATTATGTATTAAGTGATGAGTGCTGAGCATCAAAATGTTTTAAAAATGAGTACTAATGCAGTTCAAACATTTGAATTGGACAGCGGTGACTGATCGTATAATTAAAATGAAAGGTGAGCGAGACACTGGACTTGATGCACAGCAGCGTTCCCCTGTCAACTGTGCACTTCTATGCTTGACCATAGGGGGCACTGTTACACTCTGAAGCGCTGAGACGGGGATGATGTGTAGAGAACAGAGCACAAAGAGGAGATTGTTGGCAAGAGTCTTTTTCTGTTGTGCAAAAACTAACAAGATGAAACGCGCGGCGCTGACGTACATTTCTCGTTGTTCAAAACACCTGCTCGTCTCAAAACCACTAATCAGCAACAGGATTCTAGGTCAGGGAGGATCCTTGTGTGGAACCACTGCGGTGTAATTCACTGATGATAATGATGCCAGAGGAGAGCGAGAGAGAAAAGAATGAGCACTTTTGTTGAGGTTAAGCCATGAGGTAAAGGTAAGCAGGAGTTATTTGAAATCTGATCTGGGTGCAGTGTTAAAGGGGCGGCAGGTGGTGGTGGTGTGTGGTAGTAGAGGAGTAATAATGGGTGTGGGTGGCAACAGCTGAGCGCGGAGCCTGCCTGTGTGTGCAGCCCCCTACTCCACCCCAGCACCACCGCAGCATGCCTGAGCACCTCTCCAGCCTTTCAGCCGTCAATCACTACCTCACCCCCTCTCTTGCTTCTCGCTGCCACTGCCCACCTAATCCTCGAGGTATTTTCACTGAACCAGAGAGAGAGAGAGAGAGAGCACCTGGGGGTAATGTCCTGGTGAGGTGGAATCCAAGAACACACCCAGCAAAAAAACACACACATATATATACACACAGGCAAACACTCTTCCCTCTCAGTTTCTCTTGCTCTCTGTCTGGTTCTCTCTCATGAAGCCACACACACACACACACACACACACACACACACACACAGCAGTTCTTTCATCTAAAAACTAGAAACATACCCCTGACGCAGAATGAAATCCCACCACGCTGACAGATGGATTCTTTATGGTTTTTATGCTGGCATGACTTAAAACAAAAACAAGTATCAAAGCACAAACAGACGCAGGCAACCACATGCACCGGGGCTTCATACACGACTGCTTGTGCTGACACATCCACGCTGGCAGCAGTATCGTTCGCAGGGGTTAAGGCCTGCAGTTATTTGGTTGAAGCTTCGGGTCAGAGTGCGAGAAAAGCTGGGCACAAAGATCAAGTCAGGATCACAGCGACAGTTAGCTTCAATTTGTCGAGACTGACGTGTTTTTTTAAGTGTCTCTATATTGGTCGAATGGTGTTTACTGTCACAATTGACTATTTCATTGTGTTTACATTACGAGCTGCAGCTTTTGCTCGAATGTCAAATAAATGCCTGTCAGTTGAATAATAAAATAATTGCCTGCTGGACTAATTCTGCGTCTCACTGTACAAAAATACATCTTAGTTCAGTTTAAATGCTGGCAGCCCAGTGGAAAACTCTCTGTTGTTTCTTTTTTATCTGCTTTTAAAACATCCTATTGGTGTATCCCTTGACAAGGAATGTTACAAGTCATTTTGCTGACAGCAGTCTCATTCCCCGCTCTCTTAAATGTTAGTGGGGAAGACAAAGGGCCTCGGTTTGGACATTCCCCAGGCCCTGTTTTTCTTCTCCTTCTCCTTCTTCAGGAGTTGACTTAACAGTCCTGCTCATTGTTGTCAGGCTTGTCTGTAGGCCAGACTGAGAAAATACCTTTCACATAAAGGGAGTAGCACTGTGGAAATTTCACCGTGTATCTTTGTGTGTGTGTGTCATGCTTGCACAACTTCAGAGTTTTTTTGCGTAATTGTTGTAAGAAAGGTACCCTGGGTGACACCTACCTTTTGTTTCGATGTGCACACTGTGCTGACCTGCCAGAGCACCTCCCGTGGCGCTGCTCTGTCTTGGCACCAGAGTTCTTTGGAAATACCTGTTTTGCAAGGAGGTGGAAAGAGACAGAAGAGGGATGGGAAGGGGTGGGCCGACTGTGTTTGCACATGTCCGCATAGTAAGCTTTTCTTTTTGCTTAATGCATAAATGGAAGATCCAGAAAACCTCAGCGCCTCTCTTCGACCTGGGTGTGCTGCAGACTCCCACTGTAGCTGCTGATATCTGAATAAGCGTGCGATGGCGTTTGTTCATCTGTGAGAAGGTCTGATGGCTCTCTGCGGCGTGTTGCTGAGGCTGTTATCAGTTGATCCCTGTCATTACGGGAGCCTTTCAAACAAACAGTTGGAAGCCCATTAAGGCCACTTATTATGTGATAACATCGTCACTGAGCCCTGAAACACCTCACTAAGCTTTCTCCAATCAGGGCCAGAGCGCTGGCCTCAAACTCAGCCGTGGGGATGTTTTGAAAAGCTAGTAGGTCATTTCCTTCAGCCCACATGGCCTGGCCGAAAAATCTAAAGTCCTTTGCTGGGCTCAAACTTTCCATTCATACCATAATTTGTAGGGTTATGCTGAGTGATGAATACAGAAAACCCACGAGAGGCCCAGCTGTGAGCTGCATCACAGTGGGATGAAATCAAAAGCTCTGTAATAATAGAATGGAATGAATAGCGTGTTGAAACCTGTGTAAAAGCTGCCTCACTTTGCTCTTTTGTGCCTCTGGTGGAGAGAAGGGCAATAGCAGTTCGTTTAAAGTGTCTGTTAGACATGATGGACTCGTGCACCAGCATTAGCATACAAGCAGTGTGGAACATATGCATGGATTTGTGGTTGCACACACGCACACATATGCAGTTCAACACAAAACATCTAGTTAGGCAGATTGTGAAAAAGGCCAAAATATTCCAGCAAAACAAAAAAGAAAAAAAAACACGCAGAGTGACATAATTAAAAACACTCTTTGCATACTTAAACACACACACACACAGAAACAACATAAGGAGGTCATGTTGGCTTAGGGAGCTAAGGGAGTTGCGTAAAGGAGCCATTTTGGTGGGAAATGTGGTGCGGCAGGGAACGTCAAAGCAAAGCTTTAAATGGAGGCAAGGGACAAGCGAACGATGTCAACTAGCAGAGGGAAGCTTTCTCCACTGGAGGTGAAGCAGAGCACAAACGGCACATTGAATCTCTATTTATTTTCACAAGGTTGAAGTGCTGGGTTTAAGCCTAGCCTTGGTGGTGTAGAGGAGGATTAGTAGGATTTGCCTCTGTGCACATGCGTATGCTAATGTGGGCATGCTACATATCTGATAAAAGCAACGGGCAGAGAAAAAAGATGAAGTGATCTATGTATGGATATGAAAATGATGATTGCAGCCCTGCAACCCAATACTTCCTTGTAGGTACATATTTCCCTACACACACAGGAAAACCAAACACTCATCTGTGTTTCTCATTGTTTGAACAGCTATAAATAAATTACATTTTTTGCTATGTTGGGTGTCGGTTTAAAGGGAAAAACACAACACAAAATCTCCTCATTAGTAAGGCTCAACAGCTTAGGTCACGACATCACCATAACGGCTTCAGTGCACCTTTGCATTGATTTTGCTTGTATTCTACAGGAAGCATGATACACCTCTCTTAAACATACACACATGATTCGATCGTGGTGTTTTATCAGCTTGGTCACAAGTTAGATGTTATATTGGGTTGAAGACTACAGCATATGATTCACATCATTTTCATCCACATGAAACCATTCTGCGGCTCCCCACTCCCACCCCCTGTGCTTGACCATTGTCGCTCTGGAAGAATCCATTCTCATCGGCACTGAAATGTTTCTTCGTAGGAGAAAAACTCAAGTTTGTATTCATTTGCCGTGATCTTTCCTTTGAGTGGATCCAGACAAATTCCCATAAATTGTGTTTCTTCAAAAAGACCAAATGAAAACCATGCAAGAAATAAATACCAGATCATTTAGGTCATTGAAAGAGAGCAGGTGGATGGATGTAGACACTCATTTGCCAAAGACAATAATCTTAGTTTGGCTGCAGCTTCTGAATTGTGAAAGATGAACTTTATATTGTTAGTAATAGAACAAAAATCTGAACAATCAGATGACGAGTAAGTACTTTGCAACAGTGGAAAGGAAAAACTAATAATACTAAATTTCTGCTACTACTACTAATAATAACAAAAATATTTTTTCTTGTGCTTGATCATCACACTAAGTCATTATTAGCTCTTCTTATTTCTGACTCTGCTACTCAATGCCGTGAGTGTCAACACCTAAACAAAAAAAGCTGTTTGCTCGCTGGCATCTCTGCTCCTGTGACCATGATCTTCATAGCAAATTAGCGATGCAAGCGCTGGACCATTTTGGACTATACTTGTGTGCGATGACGGCATGTGCAGCGCTGTTTGGCTTTGTCCTTCATCTGTCAGTGAGACTGGAGTCTACTTGGCTGTAATAAACAACTCTGCATTGTCTGACATTCCTGCTTTTATCTCCCTAGGCGATCACAGGCCTCAAATGACAGCTCTCTAAGGTGCTCCACTCCTTTTTGGCAATCAGTTGCACTTATTA